GGCATTTCCAATAACTCGTCTTCCATAAGGCCCTCGTTCTCATGCTAAATCGTAAAAAAAGAAAAGAAAAAAAAAACATGTGGTCAAATGTCAACCCCATTTCATGTTATATTTATCTTAGAGGGTGTTTGGCTAAGCTTATGAACAACTTATAAGCTCTTCAAAAGTGTTCGGTAATTTTTTTTATCATAAAAATTCAATCTTTTTTTAAAAAAGTACATATAAACAGTAACTCATGTTCTACAAAACCCCCGTTTTCATTCTAAATCGTAAGAAAAAAGAGAGGCATATAGTTAAATGTCGAAATCTCATTTCAAAGAAAGTATCTTTACCTCTACATTTGGAATTATAGAATCTTGCACAGATTCGTAATTCGAAAACCTCCTTTCTGCACGAGGCTCGGGAGTGGCTGACTTTGGGGTGACGGGGTCCACTTTGGCAATAATATTATTATCAGAAATATTATCTTCTTCTTCTTCTTCACTCTTTTCAATAACTTTGACTTGTTGTTGTTGCTGCTGATAGAACACTTTGGAAATGACGTATTCGCCCTCCATTTCGTCCTCACCCGTGCCCAAGTGATACTGGTGCATGACCCAGTTAGTCTTTTCAGCCTTGCCACCTCTCACGGGGCTTATATACAAAACCATAATCTTTTTACAACCCTTTTGCACACCATCCAATAAAACGGGTTTGGTTCGACCCGTTTTATGCCAGCGTACGTCTCCACAGTCGTCACCGTGTATCTTTCGACGCTTTCTTGTACCTGTGTTGTAAGCTTTGATTGCTCTGTGGAAAAAGTGGGATACACTTCCGTCTTGCTTCACACCTAAGTATTTATTTGAAAAAAAAATTACGAAAAAAAATGATAAAGACAAAGATACTAGGATCGAACAAAAGTGTACCGGGTAAGTTTTGAGGATGTGTGTAACAAATGCCATCACTTTCATGAACAGTTGGAATGAATTCATCTATGAAAGCGTGGGGAGTCAAATTTTCGACACCGGCTTTCGCAATTAAATGCCAAATAATTTCTTGGTCGGTGGGATCGAATTTCACGCCACGAGGTAATCCAGGCCATGCATGAGCCACCTGGAAAATGAATACAAAAAATTAAATCAAAAATTACTCTAATTGATTAGACATACTAGAAGATGGCTATATTGGTAAGAAAGAAATGGGAAAGAAAACATACATCACTATTGTCGATAACGTATTGGCAATTTGGGCAGCTTTTCGAAGGGTTGCTTTTCCAGTTGACTTTTGATGCATCGAGTGAACCAGATGCGCTCCTTATTTTAGTGGCGATTCTATTCGGGTCAAACAACCATGATGGCCTGCATGAAAAGTCAAGCAATTGAGAGGTAATTAGAAGCAAAAGATAAATATTGTAATAAAATAAAAAGTTTCGATAAGCCCATCAGATTCGATTGATATGATTAGAAACAACGGATACCTTCTTTTAGCATAATGTTCGAAAGTATTTACGATAAGCGAAAATTGCAGTATGAAGAAATTCTGAATACTAACAATTTCTAGGTCGAAATTTAAGATTCTGAAAATGTCAGATTCTTCACACAAATACTTCGAAATGCGGGAAACGAAGATGTCAGAATTTAGTATGTCCACGTAAAAGTACTATCAGTGAACTTCTCGGCCAATTCATTTTTCGTATGAATTTGATAAGGCTGATTTGCAATGTTTCCCCGTGATATCAAGAAACAATAGTCGGATAGACTAAGAGTCGCTTCAAAATGCAAAACCCCCAGAAAATTGCGAAAGCTAAATTGTTAACAAAATCCAAGCAACACGAAACCAAGTTGATTAAGACAATCGACACTCCTTATCGATACTCAAATCTAGAAAGCACAAACCATTTCCTTGCAAAATTACCCAATGTTGCTTCGTTGTTGCTCATCATCGAGAAATATCCAAGAAACTCTTTAGCGTCCAGCATTATTCAATTTATAATCCTCAAAACGAGATACGAACAAGTGGGGGAATTATCGGACAAGAGCTTATCATTCCATTATACCATGAATACACGTTAAGTTTGTATTTCCAATCATCAATAATCATCTAGGTCGGAAGTCGAAAAGACAATTCTTTCCAATCAAATTTAGAATTATCAAACTAAAAGAACACAATAAAAACAAGAAAGCCCAGATCCAAATCGGTTAGCATCTAAACCCATAACAATCAAAATAAAATTAAACAAAATAAACTCGAGAACACGTGTGTGTGTATATATATATATATATCCATTTCCTAATCATCATACAGTCTAGAAAGACACTAAACAATAAGCTCTATGTAAGGCCAAACACATACAAATCCCTGCTATCACTAAAATCAAAACAACCCATGTCACTGTTTTGACTTCAAGATTCAAACTAATGCTTGTAAAGATCAAAACTTTCAATAACAAACCCAAATAAAAATTGAATCTTTCTGCAAAAAATAGAACCCCATTCCATAGTATAACTTCAAGATTCAAACCAATGCTGGTAAAGATCAAAACCTTCAACAACAGCCCAAATAAAAATTGAATCTTTCTGCAAAAAAATAGAATCCCATTCCATAGTATAACTTCAAGATTCAAACTAATGCTGGTAAAGATCAAAACCTTCAACAACAGCCCAAATAAAAATTGAATCTTTCTGCAAAAAAATAGAATCCCATTCCATAGTATAACTTCAAGATTCCAACTAATGATGGTAAAGATCAAAACTTTCAAAAACAAGCCTAAATAAAAATTGAATCTTTCTGCAAAAAAATAGAATCCCATTACATATTATAACTTCAAGATTCAAACTAATGATGGTAAAGATCAAAACTTTCAACAACAGCCCAAATAAAAATTGAATCTTTCTGCAAAAAAGAGAATCCCATTCCATAATATAATTTCAAGATTCAAACTAATGATGGTAAAGATCAAAACTAATTGAATCTTTCTGCAAAAAATAGAATCCCATTTCATAGTATAACTTCAAGATTCAAAAAAAAAAGAAGACAAAGGGATTGAAGAAATACCCAGCCATGGTCGAATGCTGCGAGGATCAAAAGCTTCAATTAATTTTTCAAGAATTAATTTTTTGGACGGTTATTCGAATTTTAGCCCTTTTTTCGAGAGTTTCCAGATATTCTTGGGGATGTTGCCTAAAGTCTAGTCTTGATTCTTGGGAAGTGATTTTCTACTATTTTCCCACTTCTTCTCTGTTTCCCATTCTTTGTTTTTTTTTCTCTTTTTTTTTTCGATTTGTTTAATTTCTTATGATCTCATTAAATTGATTTAAGATAGATTAACTATGTACTTACATCTTAAATTACGGCCAACCCCTTTAGATAAAGTTAATTATGAAAAAATCCCTTATATTTGGCTAATTACAACTATCTTTCAATCATAAATTTTCTTACACGTTCACCTTTATGGCGTCAAATTCAAAAGAATCTCTACATCCCGTGGAATATTCTTTACTTTGTACTCGTTTTGTGCAAAATTGCAGTTTTGATGCACCACAATTTGATATTTACAAACCAAGAGACACATCTTATGATCATCTTGTTTCAAAATGTGAAGTTCGAATTGGGTAAACGGGTACAAACTGAAGAATATTCCACATGATTTAGAAAATTCCACTAAATTTGACACCACAAGGGAGATATGTAAAAAGATTCTTAATTGAGAAGATAATTATAATTATCTAAATATAATGGATTTTTTCATAATTTAATATGTATATCCCATAATTTAACACTATTGCTTTATTATTGATATAACTTTGGAATTTAAAATTACTGATTATTAACATCCCACTAGAGAAAGTCAAAAATTGGGACAGACTCAATTATTAGATGGAGTAAATGGTGGAGTTGACTCGGTCTACCTGATAATACTTGTCAATAAAAGATTCATCTTTGGTTACACTTTATAAGATTTATTTATTTGAGTAATATTGAGTTGCATATGTCATGTATTAAATAATCATTTCAGTATTTGGCACATATAGTATTTATTAGAAATAAAAGTTCCAATACATTTTTATTATTTATTTATTAAAATTAAACGAGCTTATAATTTTTTTGAAAAAAATCTAGTTTTTTCCTGAGCAAATTGAAAAGGTAAATTACACCTACACACCCTGAAGTTAGGTCATATTACACATAGATCCCCTAAGATTTAAAAAAATTACTTATACCTCCCTTGAGCTCAGTTCCAACTAACAATTTTCCACCCATCTCAAACTGCTAACGTCACCAGGAAAAAGTTCACCACAATGCATTATTTGTTTCGCACTTCCTAAACATGACCAAATTAGACGTTGTACCACAATGCAATATATGTCGAAACGATATCCACAATCAATCGAGTTCGTATTTGAGAAGGATAAAAATAGAACAAATGTTTCATTTTTCTTCGGAAGAGTTTTCAATAGTATAGGGATTGAACCATGACATAAATTAGAAGAATGAATTCGTCCAATATTAGTCGCATGTGCAGAAGAAACACCGGAGACTCCGAACATAACTTACTTACTGAAAAGTTGAAGGAATATGCAGAAATACCGATCGTGTGGATGAATTTTGTAGATTGTACGCACTGTTTATTTTTAATCGTATTTTATTCCCTAATCCTAGCGAGACATACTCAAACTTTACGAATTCAAACCCCTCAAAACAAACCTCAAGGGTGGTATATATAATTTTCAATAGTTGAGGGTGCTTAGCAGTAATTTTCCCTAATCTCGGGGTGTAATTTACCCAATTTAAAATCAAGTTCTTTCGTCTTCTAAAAACCAAAATCGCTGAGTTGCACTATTACGACGTCGTATTCGTAGAATACAGAAAACTAATCTGAAACCTATTCCAGAAATCGCCACCGTTGCGCCACCATGAGCAGCGCCAAATCCCGCAACTTCCGCCGCCGTGCCGTCGAAGACGAAGATGAAGACGGCCACAGCTTCTCAACTCCGACGGTCTCCAAAATCAACGGCGGCGCTTCCACCACGAGCAGCAAACCCTCCGCCAACAAACCCAAAAAACCAACCTCTCAGCCCCCCGTCAAAAGCCTCCTCTCCTTCGCCGACGATGACGAGGAGTCCCCCTTTTCTCGCCCCCCATCCAAGCCCCCCTCATCGTCGTCCTCTTCGCGCATCAACAAATCTTCCGCCCACAAGCTCACCTCCTCAAAAGACCGAATTGCCCCTCACCCTCCATCCACCTCCCTCCCCTCAAACGTCCAGCCCCAAGCCGGACTCTACACCAAAGAAGCCCTCCTAGAGCTTCAGAAAAACACCAAAACCTTCGCCGCACCCGCCCGTAACAAACCCAAACCCGACCCGGAACCTGTAGTAATCCTAAAGGGTTCGATAAAACCCATAAATTCGACCGACTCGAACTCTGAAGCTAATGGTAGAGGTGAAGTGGGCTTTGATCAAAAGCGCCAAGGTTTGAGTGCCGATAGAAACGACGCAGAATCCCGATTGAAGGACATTGCATTAGGGCCAGATTTAGGGGATGATAATGAAGTTATGCCGGATCAAACAATGATCGATGCAATTAAGGCGAAGAGGGAGAGGTTAAGACAGGCCAAACCCGCAGCTCCGGATTACATAGCATTGGATGGCGGGAGTAATCACGGCGAAGCCGAGGGTTTGAGCGATGAGGAGCCTGAATTTCAAGGGAGGATTGGTTTCTTCGGTGAGAAGATCGGAGGGCGTGATAGTAAGAAGGGTGTTTTTGAGGATTTTGAGGAGAGGGCTATGTCGAAAGAGAGGGGAATCGAAACGGATGATGATGAAGAGGACGAGGAGGATAAGATGTGGGAGGAAGAGCAGGTGAGGAAAGGGTTGGGAAAGAGGCTAGATGACGGTGTTGGTAGTGTTAATAGTAATGTTAGCGGTGTAAATAGCATTAGTGTGATGCATCCTCCGTCGAAAAACGTTGGAGGGGCGGGGGTCGATATATTTGGTATTGATGATATTTCGATTTCTCAGCAAGCCGAGGTTGCCAAGAAAGCTCTGACTGAGAACTTGAGGAGGGTTAAGGCACGTGTTTTTCGGTTTTTTTTTTTTTTTTTGAATTGGTGTTATTATTTATCGGCTTAGGGAATTCGAGTATCTTAACGTTGTAGTATGTGGTTTTCTTGTTGTAGGAATCCCATGGCAGAACAATGATGTCGTTGGCAAAGAGTGAAGAAAATTTATCTTCATCATTGCGGAATGTTCTTAGCTTAGAGGATTCTTTGGCTGCCGCCGGTGAGAAGTTCGTCTTTATGCAAAAGCTCCGTGAGTTTGTTTCTGTTTTATGTGAGTTTCTGGAGGTATGACTTAACTGATTTACGAGTTCTGTGTATAATTATGTCGATTAATTTGTGATGTGTGTGCAATTGCTTATCTCTTATTAGAATAACAGGGCTCTTGTTTATTTTACATGCAAATGTAGATTTGGTTGCACCTGGTTCATTGCAGAATGCAAAATTCAGTGCAATTACATTAGCTAATAGAACGATTGACTAAGCTTCTATCTTCTTGGTTTTAAATGTTTTGTTATACCTTTGCAATTAAAACTCTCTCACACACAATGAAATACCACAGTGGCATTGCAAAACTATACCCAGAGGATTGTAGTGTCTATCGGTTTCATGATAAAATATTGTGGAGAGCACACAGCATTCTCGAAAATCAAACCAAATAAAGCAGTTTAGAACAAGAGTGATGTATCTATCGAACTAGTTTGGTTGGGTTATCTCTTGCCCTTTGCATGTCTATCAAGATAATCTAAAATCATCTATTTTATTTCTTGCAACTGTACCCTATGAATTTTCATATTTCCGAATGATTTGATTAGGACACTCAGTTTGACAAACTCATGTTCTAATGATATATGCAGTTAAACAATCATAAAAACATTATATGATATCTGATTAGGACTCCTTTTCATGTTTTATAATGTCTTCTGCTGTTTCAGTGTCGTGTTTCTTTCATTTAATTTGGTTCCGATGCACGTGGGATGGCTGGCTTTAATAATGTCGTCACTTTTCTTGCAGCATAAAGATTTTGAGATCGTGGAACTTGAAGAACGATTGCAGAATCTTCATGAAGAGCGTGCAAGAGCCATCGAAAAAAGAAGAGCAGCAGATAACGATGACGAGATTTCTGAAATAGAGCAAGTTATTGCTGGTAGTAATGCAAGAGCAGTTAAAAGTGTGCCTGTTGAACTGGACGAATTCGGAAGAGATGTTAATCTGCAAAAACGTATGGATATCTCGAGAAGGAGGGAAGCTAGACAAAGACGAAGAGCCAAAGCTGATTCCAAGAGAAACTCTGCCATGGAAAAAGATGGTTCCGTTCAACAAATGGAAGGAGAGTTAAGCACCGATGAAAGTGACAGTGAGAGTACAGCTTACGAGTCACACCATAAGGAATTACTTAAATGCGCTGACGATATCTTCAGTGATGCAGCTGAGGAGTATTCTGAATTTTCGAACGTGGTTGAAAGATTCGAGACATGGAAGAAAGAATATGGATCGAGCTACCGTGATGCTTATATGTCGATGAGTATACCCGAACTTTTCTCACCTTACGTGAGGCTGGAGCTTGTGAAGTGGGACCCACTTCACGGAGATGCAGATTTTATGGATATGAAATGGTAAGCATGGAGATAAATTTTTTTCCATTAAAATGGTATAGAAAATTAGAAACACTCTCTTTCGAGTTCCCTGCATTTTACTGGAATAATAAATTAAGAAAATGTATAGGCATGCGTTTACGGGATCTTTGTTCTACATGTGAACAGTTCTATTACTGCTGATTAAATTATGTATTTCGTATATTTTTTCCAGGCATTCCTTGCTATTCAACTATGGTGAAAACGGAATCAGTGGAGAGAATGCAGAGGACGATGCCGACACAAATCTTGTTCCCCAATTGGTTGAAAAAATTGCAATTCCGATTCTACACCACCAGTTAGCGTATTGTTGGGACATCCTTAGTACTCGTGAAACAAAGTTTGCTGTCTCTGCTATGAACTTGGTCATGACTTACGTAGATCACTCCAGTTCGGCTCTTGGGAACTTAATACCCGTTCTTCGTGATCGTCTCACCAAAGCTGTAGCTGACTTGATGGTAATATTTTTTGACCAATATTCTCGTATTACGACGTTTTGTTATGTAATTACGATTTTTTTATATATCTTTTGTGTTTTTGGATTACAGGTGCCTACGTGGAGCCCGCTTGAAATGAAGGCTGTACCGAATGCAGCAAGAGTTGGGGCGTATAGATTTGGTACATGTGTTCGTTTGATGAGGAACATATGCTTGTGGAATGGGATTCTCGATAAGCCCGTACTTGAAAAGATTGCTCTTGACGAACTTTTAGGCAGGAAAATTCTTCCTCATCTTCACAGCATAAGTTCAAACGTACACGATGCAGTTATACGGACAGAGAGGGTTATTGATTCATTATGCGGTGTGTGGACAGGCCCTGGCGTTGCAGGGGATAAGAGGTATTTATTACATTTTCTCATTTTTAAATTTGCTTGGGCCTCGTTTGGTTGGTAATATAAGTCATATTATGGAAGGAAAAACGAAAAGCTCTTATCTTGGCTTATGGGTTCATGTAAGATTGCATGATCTTATTTTAGGAACCAAACGACGCCTTATTTCGCACAGTAATGCAATCCCTGGTGTGTGTGTCTACTGAAAAAATAATCAATTTTTATTTATTTTTAATAATTCACCAACAGCTAATTATATGGATTTTCTAATACGGTAGAAGGAAGTTGACTTTTCAATAAGACTTGGTTAGGAGGGAATAAATGATTTGACAAAAAAAACGTTTCCTAGATAGTATCTTCTTTCAAGTAGTGTTTTTTGTGGTAAACAAACATGTTAAGTTCGCTTTCATTTAAGATCTCGTTTTTTTTTTTTTTTTTTGGTTTCGGTTGATTGTGGCAGAAAGTTGCAGCCATTGGTGAAGTTCTTGCTGTTGATAGGAAAGACACTGGAGAAAAGGCAAGCTTCGAGTGCAGTGGAAACTGAATCAGGTTCACTCGTTCGAAGATTGAAGAAAATGCTTGTGGATCTGAATGAGTATGATCATGCAAGAGAATTATCGAGAAAATTTAATCTCAAGGAGGCACTCTGAATTCGCTCTCTCCGTAACGTAAATCAATTTTGAGAATACACTTACTGCGTGTGCATAGAGATCATCTTTAAGAAAAAAAAGGGGCTTTCTCATATGTATACAGTCCTCTGTTTGTAATTTGGAATAGGCTAATTCGAAGCTTTTTTGTTCTTACTTTAGTTGTCGCCTGTCGGTACACTTTAATTGATGTAGAAACGAAAGGTTCCTTCACGAGCACTTACGATATCGTAATATTATTTGATCTCCATGTTATTTACAATATTCATTGTACAGTTTATGGTTTCTGATTGAAGTAGCTATAGTTGCCAAATCAATGTTTTATTTAGGGTAAATTAAGGCCACTCGTGGGGGAATGTTAAATTACGAAAATACCCCTCTTGTTTAATATCACACAACTAACTGTGGAACTGAAGGCCATATTATAGATTTAGTGTCATATATAATTGATGTTACATAAACTATATATATATATGTGTGTGTGTGTGTGTGTGTGTATAAAGCATTATATATAAAGCATGCAATATAATAAATTAAAATCTGTTGATGAGATGAGATTTAACAGGCCAAAGACAATCATTCATATTAATATTAATATTAATAGGTTTTCCGCAAGCAGTGCAACTAAAAATTCTTGCACTTCAATACAGCAAAACCTTACACAACAAAAGAAATGGAAAAACAACCTATGACTTAATTAAATACCTATTATATATATATATAATAAAATATATATACATTCCCAACCATTAGTCCATCACAAGCTCTCCATTCATAAATACTTGAAAATTTATAGGAAATTAATACTAGAGCTGGAAGCCAGGCCAGGAACATCAATATATCGAACAACGTAACCACCGATCGAAGTGGTGCTGGAGCGGCGGCAGTCGTGGCGGCGGCGGATCACATCGGAGGCCATTTGCATGAAATATTACCTAATTAACTATTTTCTTAATTGAAGTCACCAAATAGAGATTTGGATAAAAATCAACAGAAGCAACTAAAAACAAACCCCAAAACCCACACAAAATCGAAAAAAAAAAAAATATATTAGGGTTTATATATATAATATGAAAAATAAAAAGATAAATAAATAATTAAAAAGACCTGTATTCAAGAACACTAGTATTAACTCTTTGCCTCTTAACACTCCCAGCCGAACCCGACTCATCACCGTTCGACGACGATTTCTCCATAACTGCTCTAAGTGCTTCCTCGATCGACCTTATCGAGTAATCCCTCTCCTCGCGGATATTCTCCTCCGCCACGTCATCATTATCGTCATTGTTATCGTAATTACTGAACTCCTCCTCCTCGGCGGTGATGTACAGCACGTTCTTAACCCTTCCTCCGAGGGTCGTGATCTCGGCTCTCAGGGTTCTCAACCTCATCGATTTCAGAGCCTTGATCAGCTCCGGCAGAAGTTCCGGCCGGTCCTCGCAGCATATCGACGCCTTGACGATCCATTTACCGTCCTCGCCGGCGTCAGAAGCGTTGTCCACCGTCAGCTCGTCGGTCTCCGTCGGGACGGGGCTCGTTTCTTCGATAAGAGATGTCTGCCGCTTTAGCTCCTTCACGTGTTGGATCACTTCTGCCAGTAGTGAAGCTTTGTCCGTCTGCAAATTCATATAAATTTATAATAAATAAATAAATAAAAAGATTGAATATTAGGAGGAAGATAGGGTTTTTAATTATTCATTGGAAACAATAGGGTTTGGGGAAGTGTACGTATATATTATGTATATGTGTGTGTATATATATATATATCGGCGTGGGTATAATTCTGTCTGAAAATTCAATGAGAACAATGACTGACAAGAATGCTTCTTTGTCTCTCTGTCTTTTTTATTTAATTTAATTTATATTTATTTTAGGGTATTTGTAATATTAATTACTGCAAAATTGGGCAAGAATTTTCTAATAGAAGCTTTTCGACTGCTCATTTGTTTCACTTTTATCAATGCCTAGGGCATTCATTCCCCTTTTCTTTTGGCCCCCCTTTCTTCTTTCCTAGAAATTACCACTTGGAATATTATCACACACATACATACATATATATACATCTATACATACATATATATACATATATGTGTGTGTGTAAAAAGTGGGTAGCTAGTTATATACACACATGTATTTTGATGTCACATTAAGAATATATGAGCTCCAAAATTTAAAATGCATTAATAATAACTAGTCATATATACTCAATCTTGAAAAGTTGAAAGATCTTATAGAATGAGTATTTGTAGATTTTGGGCATATTCTAAAGAATTCTTTTGCAAACTTTAAGGTTGTTATTAGTAGCAGCGGCGAAGCCAGTATAGATTCCGAGGGGGCCGTGACCTCCCAACAATTCTCAAATTCCTATGTTTTATGTATACATTTAAAAACAAAACGTCCCTAATAAGACTTAAAATTCTGGCTCCGCTGGTTTATATTAGGTGTAAACACAACTCATGATTTCATGTGAATGTAGCAATTAAGAGGAAATAATAAATATGAACTAATAAAATAATTTAGAGTTTTTGTGTGTATATATATATGTGTGTGTATGTATAGATGATGCTTACTTTGGTTGTGCTAGGGAGTAAGCTTCGGAGCTTAGCAAGATGGTTATTGATTCTCTCTCGGCGGCGCCTCTCGGCTTCGCTGTGGCTTTTCGAAGCTGCTATGGCTTTCGCGTCCATTATTTCTTGTGCCGTCATTTTCTGGAGCTCCGCGTGCAGCCCGAAAGGGGCGGCGCCGCCACATGATGAGTTGTTCGGGTACTGCACCACCTCCGAAATCATCCTGAGCTGGTGGCTATGGTCCCCCGGCGACCCGCCTTCCATGTACCCGAATGCAGCCCGGCCGACTGCGGCCGCCTGTGAACAACCCACCGTAGGATGATGGAGCAGCAGCTGCTGGCTGATGAGAGAGAAGAAACGGGTCGTGGTCCCGGGTCGAGAAATGGGTCGACGTCGGGTTGAAGCCGTGAGCGGCTTGAGTGAGGTTCCATGGTAGGATCTGTGATATTTCAGGGAAAGTCAGAGTCGATCCACCTCCACCACCACCACCACCACCTCCTCCACCACCTCCGCCGCCGCCGCCTATTCCCATGTACCCATCCCCGCTGCTGTTGTAGTACTGCTGCTGCATCTGTTTTGAAATAAGTGAATTATTAATTACTCTTCAATCTACAAACCCTCAATAAGACAAACAATACATACATATATACATACATATATATATATATATATATATATATATATATATATATATATATGTATATATAGATATATAAGAAAGAGAAAGACATAAATACCTTTGTTTGCTGCTGCTTCTTCTTCTTCTTGTTCTTGTTTGTTGGTTTGTTGTTCTTTATAGTGAATGGTGAAGAATGAAAAAAAGACCTTTTTATCCTTGTATAAAAAAGACACAACCTTTCCTTACAATTGTGCTTTAATTTATTTCTTTTTGTTTTCTGGTTTATTTAGTTTTTTTGGCCCCTCCACTCCAAAGTGTGATCGATCGAGCATATATATATATACACACATATATAATATATAATATATAAAAATAGGTATAAGAGCGTAGTGTTAGTCTTCTTTCCTTTCTTCTTACGGCACACCCTACTTTCTCTCTCTAAACTTCTTCCATTTCTGTAGCATTCAGACCACACAGTACTCCTCCTCCTACTTTTTTCATCACACACATTCACACTCACATATTATATTATATTATTATATATAATCCAACATCTTGCATCCTCTTTCCTTCAAACCCTATATTTATAATTATAGAGAGAGAGAGAAAGAGAGAGTTTAGAGAGAGAGAGAGAGAGAGAAACCATGGGTCGGGTCACGTTGTTGCATAATATGTATGGCCTTTAGTTAGTCACTCCTATAGGTATTTACACGCGAACCCCTTTCTGCTTCACCCAATGCCCATGTAATCATTGTGTCTTGGAACGCACTCCTGATCCACGCCCCCCCCCCCCCACCCCACCCCCCACCTCCAGCTTCCATTAATGAATACAAAAGCATTTCTGTCTCTATATGTGTGTGTATATGAATTTCCTCGGTTTCAGGCGCGTATGTATTTTCATGCTATTAATTACCATAATTTTTATCTTTGCTGCAGAGAAACAAGAATGACCAGAATCCTCAGTAATATATGTCTAATGTTTTATTTATTTAATAATAATCATCTTGGGAACTGTATGAATATATATTAATTAGCAGATATATTGACTCTTGTCCTCGTATGGGGTGTTATGATTCAGGTTACATCTGATCTTATGTCGATTTTACTTTAATTTTCTGGTTTTAATCCAACGTACAGTGGTTTTTTAATACAATATTTTACACATACCAATGTTGGTATGTGTGATTGTATAAGTTTAATTAACTTTTACAAGTTAGCATTTTATTTTACACACACGAATGTTGGTATGTGTGTGTTTGTGTGTATATGAATGGTCAACTTTTGCAAGATATGATTTTGTTTTGTATATATATAGTTTTATAAACATTACAATAATGTTGTCACACCTAATAGGCTGTTTGGCTAAACTTATAAAATGTTAAAAAATACTTATAAGATGTTTAAGAGTTTATAAAGATAGTAAACAAATCTTAAAAATTCAAGAATAAGTTGTTGAAGCACAAATAAAATCTTTTTTGAAAAGTGCTTATACCTCTTATAATAAGTAAAAATGACTTATAAGCTTATTATCCAAACATTTTACATATTTAATTTTAAAATTAAGATATAACAACTTATCAGCTCTTAAAACATCTTATCAAAAGTAAAAAAAAAAAAACTTATCAACTGTTTAAAACAAGTTTAGTCAAACAAACCCTAGTTATTGTGATGAATTTGAAGCTCAAAGTATTTTAAAATCAAGCATTTGAAATTCATTCATTAAATTATTATTTTTTAAATCCAAATGGAGCTTTGACTACTAGAAACCAACAAAATCAAGCATTTAAAAGTTAAAATGTTACTATTACTTATCTACAATAATAAAATGAATTATATATATGAAGTAGTATAATTTATTCTCCAATATAAATAAATTACATTTTTTTAATCCTCCACCTCCAACCATAATTTTGTATTGTACGGAATTAATCTTGTATTTTAAGAAACAAAATTAAATGATTTAATCTAGTGGTAGAAATTTCACACCATGTACTTTGAACAATGAAAACACAAGGCACACGCATGTTTACTTTGGTCCCCATTTTCTTAACCTTTTTATTGCCTTTATTATTTATTATTTATTATTTATTTATTTATTTATTCATGCACTATTATATATTTATTTAATAACATTTATTTTTTGTTTTTTATCATATGCTCCGATTTTTGTAAATCCCATTATTCAAATATTTGATGATGGCTGTACCCTCCACTAAAATACAATATAGAACACGAGAAAGCCTTTTTCTCTCTCTTGGTGGGGGTGGGGGGTGATGATGACGTCAGTCTCATGCTGTCATGACGTGTGTTTTAATTCGCCCCCGACAATACGTGGTGCTAATTGCGCATAATTAACTTCGGACTTAATCATAATTAATTATTCTTAAATCGCACTTACATATTTAGGTCACATAATTAATAGTAAGGTTAGTAACAGATTGGTAATATTCACACTTTCAAAACATGTTATTAAATGCTACTATATATTTCATTAAATTGGCGGCATCCCGCACTAAATAAGTAAAAAAAAAAAATACTATTTTATTCTTCAAAATGATATGTTAATTTTATTAAATAAAACGTTTTATAGGAATATCACATATAATACTAGAATTTAACATATTTAATACAAGATCGAATCCAATGAACTGAACGCTCTTACTAATTAAATAATTAATTAATCAGTAGATAATTAATTCAATCTCATCTAAATTAAACTAATTTGATATATGTAACCGAAGGAGCCCAAATTAATATAGCATGAAAATTACTCTCTAGGGCATATATATATATATATATATATATCTTTTTGGATTGTTGTGCATATATTAAAAAATAATAAATAAATATAACGAAAGAAAGAAATAAAGTTCCATGAGGAGGAGCCTCGTTTGATTTTTTTTAATTTTTTTTTTATATTGAATTATTTCAGGAAAAAAAAAAAAGAAAAGAAAGAGAATGTGATGAATGAGACATTTGATGATAGTGGACCAAGAAAAATCTAACCTATCTCAATCCCATGGATTACAAATTAATCCTGTCCGTTTGTCGGATACTAATGCTGGATTGATGCACCGGCCCAGTCAAATAGACAGTGGCGGAGCCGATATATTGCCAGGAGGTCATAGTCCCTGACATTTTTCAAATTTCTATCAATTCATCTGAAAATATAAAAACGATGTGTACAATCTTATTAATAGCCTTTCTTTAAAAAAAAATTAATGAATTCGGTCGCCCGAATTTAAAATCCTGGCTCAATTAGTGCAAGTATGTATACAATATATATTTTGAACTAATGATATCATACTAAGTATAGAGAATTTATTGAATTTAATTATACATGAAGAATATTGGAGAATTTGATGTGTTATTTATTTTAGAATATTTTTCTACAAAAGGTGGGTTAAAGTACAAAAGGCTCAGGTCTCTAAACAAAGAATTACTTGTCTTAATCAGAGGTTAATTCACTAAAGTCAGAATATGTTCCACTAAATTAAATAAAGGCACACGACATATTGAAATATTGTCCAGAAAAATAAATGTAGATATATATATATATATATGCCAGTCAACTTGACAAAAAGTGATTAAAATTTAGACCAAATGTAACAACTGTGTAACTTTGCTTTTTAATGATTTCCAAACACATGCTCTAATTCTATTTATTTCATTTTCCATGCATAGCCGAAAGTAAAAATCAAAAAAATTGGTTGTTAATAATGTCTTTTGGACAACAATATCATTCACACTTTACTGCTATAATTGATTATTATTTGTTTTTTTGACCAATAATTCTTTGGATTAAGTGTGAATGTATAGAAAAAAATAATGTATAATAATCATATTTATATATTTTAATAAAAAAACTTATTATAATGACTAGTGTAACAGTGAAAGTAATGGGTTAAATAAAACAATCTAATTAAAAGAAACAAGTTGAATTGGGCCAATTATTAAAAGGAACAGTTTTTTACTGTGTGTATGATGGTAGACTTGAAATAAAATTTTAAGCCAAGTTCAAAATTAATGGCCCATAACTAATTTTAGGCCCAACAATGTTAAAGCAACACGACCAAATTTAATTAATCAGCACTCCTACAATTATTATTTTATAGACTTTGATCCTATATAACTTTTGACCCGGATAGAAGATGGGCCATGAAGCAAAGCCCATTTATTGGGAGATTTAGCCCACCAAGGCCTCTTCTCGTCGTAATGTCCGAGTGAAGAAAGCACGCGCCACCGTACCGAGAGCCATGTGGATATGCGGAGCTCGGAGGGGTGCCATAGTGTGACCAGCCCCGTTACTGAGAATTCGGGGGTCCTAGGCGAGATTTAAAGAACAACTAAAAAAGGGGCCCCTATTTGAACTTTCTTTTTATTAAATAATGTTTGCAATTAAATATACTAAAAACATATAAATATATCTTCTAAAAATTTCTAAAAATGGTGGGATAAAAGATTACGGGGGTTCGGGGGCAGTGTCCCCCGAAATATTTTTTGAAACGTATGAATATAAAATAACTTAAAATATAGAAAAAAAAAATCAAAATTAACATGATGATTTACTGATTCAATTCCTCCAGTGACGAATAATCTTTATAGCAAATAGACTTCATAAATATTTATAAAGGCGGCGGTTATATGCAAGCCCATTTTTTTATTAGTTCAAGACCTCTAACCTAAAAATACTAATTTACCCTTAATGAAATTTAAAATCAAATAAAAAACACAAAATATTAAAAAATAAAAAAAATTCATTTCTTTTGTGCAAGACCAAATAAAATACATAAATCCAGAAACCTCTCTTCCTTATTTCACGACTTAAAACTCTCCTTCTTCTTCTTTTTCTTCTTCTTCTTCACAAACCCACCAAGAAATCCTACACACCAAAATTATCAAATACATACCAAACATTCACGATGGAACCAGAAAACAATGATATGGTAGTTTACGAGGGTGGAGAACACAATGAAATATGTTTTAACCGTTTATTTTTGCTTTTGGGTCATTTTTTTTTTTGTTGGGAAAAAAATTCGACGATACCAAAAATCGGTCTGCAAATACCGATTTTTGTTACTAAAGTCGGTAACCACATTCCGATTATTTTAATAAAAATCGGTACTTAAAAACCGATTTTTGTAGTAAAAATCGGCATGACAACATCGATTTGTTTTTGTATTACCGGTATTGTCATGCCGACTTGTACTACAAAAATCGGTTTTTGAATACCGATTTTATTATCTGTGTTTTTTAAAGACTGTTTTCTCATACTTTCGTGCATCAACCTAGGGGATTGATGGAGGATTATTCAAATGAATTATCTAACGAATAAATATTTGAGATACGGAAAGTTCTATCGATTGGGTTAAAGGAGTGGTAGACGCCACCGAATGGTGATAAACATTTTCGTTTCAAATATTTAAAAAATATCAATTAACCAAATATATAATGTATTATTTAAAAAAAAAAATTCAAAAAATATCGGTATTCGAAAACCGATTTTGTACTAAATAATCGACATTAGAACGCCGATTTTGACTTGTAAAGTCGACGTTGTGTCGCCGATTTGGTTAACAAAAATCGGCATTATGACGCCGATTTTCGTGTACAAAATCGGTCTGGATAAACCGATTTGGGAAACCAACGAAAAAAAATAAATAAAAACCAATTTCAATCTCCATTGTTTTCCCAAAATCGGCCAAATCATTGCAACCCAACAAGAAATAAGCATAGATTAATGTTCATTCATACATATTTATCAAGAATCGATGTTCGATTAATGTTTTCGAATTTACAAATAAAAATTTAGTAAAAAGGACATCGATGCTCGATTAATGTTTTCGAATTTACAAACAAAAGTTTAGTAAAATGGACTTACTTGTTGGTGGTGGTGCGGTGGTGGTAATGGTGCGGTGGGTGGGTCGCTGGTCATCGCCGGTGTGGTGGAAGTCGTGATATTTTTTTTATTTTTTTATTATTTTTTTTTTTTTTGTCTTGAACAAATTAAAAATAAGATTTATTTGTATTTGAGTATTATTTGTGGATAAGGGTATATTTGTCATCTTTGGTCTTGATGTAATAAAATTAGATTAATTTACGGGCTTGAACTAATAAACTCTTTTATGAGGTTTTGAACTAATAAAAAAATGGGCTTGCATATAACCGCCGCCATTCGGTCCATTATATTTTTAAAATTCAACATTTTTAATATTTTCCGTCAATTTTCCGTTAAAAGTAACATAATGAAGCGTGTGCCCATCACTGCCTTAACGAACCGATTAACCGTAAATTGATGCAAATGACCAAGAGTGATAAATTATTGGAACATGAGGGACTAAATGTGTTTTTTGTGAACATGGAAAACCAAATGTAAAATCGGTACAAACTTGAGGGATGAAAACTGTAATTTTCCAGATATATTTTCAATTTTACTCTGGAAAATAAATAAATAAAAAAAGAAATTTGATGTGTATGAGAGCATCTTTGTTCTTTACAGTTGTGAAAATAGGAAAGCATGGGGACAAAGCAAATTAATAATGGGGGTGGGGGTGGGGGAGGGGGGCTGCCTTCTTTTTACAGCCTTTTTTTTGTATTGTCCATTTCTTTTGTTTGCTAGTCATTGCCTTTTGGATCTTCCACTATTTCATAATATACTTAATTATTATTATATAATTTCAAAATATATATAATTGGGTACTATTATTTAGAAATTTTATACATATGCAGGAAGTCACAAGATATTCTGAAATTCAGCTCTCATATAATAGCAGACAAATCACAAAATCTTTACATTTGAAAAATAATAATAAGGGGTTATAAACACAAGGTCTATAGTAATATTAATATTTAATATAAACATAAATGGAGGAATAATTTAATTTTTGAATTTAATGAAAAATCCTGAAGAGATCCGACAGAAACCAGACAGCTTTTTGGGCCGTTTTGAAATATACGTAAGATCTTGATATACCGAGTTCACAAACAAAATTATCTCGTTACGTGTGATTCATGACTCAGTGAGTTACGGCACTGCGCAACCGCGTCGCGTAAACCCCAGTCGCGCTCGATCCTTGTCAAATTCGAAAGTGTACCCTTGTTGCATTAGGTTTCCGATCACCGAAAACCCCGCCGCCGATGCAACCGGCTGCAGCGCCAGGCACTTGACGTCCTCCGCCGCGTCGATGAAGTAGTTCCGCGGCGGCGGCGAGAAAACCGACCCGCCGGCGAGTTGGAAGCTCAGCTGCGGCAAACTCGTTCCCGGAGACCCGCCGCCGGCGGAGACGTTCAGGCACAAGTCGAACCCTGGAATCGGCTCGGACAGCGTGGGCAGCTTCACCAGCCGCTCGAAGACGGCTAGGATTTTCTTGTAAGCCGGCTCGGCTAAAAATGTTAAGGTGGTGCCGGAATCTACCACCGTACCACCGTTTCCGGACTCGTCTATGGCCCACACCGAGGGGCTAATCGGTAATTTTGTATCGTTCACGATTACGTTTTCGATTCCGATGTAGTAGAATGTAGGAGAGAGAGGGTTTTGGAGCAGCGGCGTGTAGCTTAATTTAGGCTTCGCTGCGGCTGAGCCGCCGCCGCCGATTAGGAGATAGCTCGTCGGCGGTGGAGAGAGAGTGTAATCCATTAAGCAATATGAGAACTTGTGTCCGAACTGACGGCCCAATTGCGACGAAAATGAAATCGGGCCGCGGCCCAAGCCCATAACTCCGTTAGCCCCATTGAAACTCGGGCCGGATACGCTCGGCCCGGAGTTCGAAAACCCGCACCCGAAGGAGAGAGGCCGGAACTTGAGTAGTTTGCCGGCGCTGGTGTTGAACGCCGTCGTTTCGTGGGAGAAGAATCCGCTGGTGACGGAACCATCGGAGTAGGAGTACTCGTAGCGGCACGTGCTGTGGAGGCGCGTGTGGTTGCAATGCGGCGCCTTCTTGGGGTGGGGGATAAGCGTGCAAGCCGGGGAGTAGCAATGGTGGGGGGAAAACGTGGCGGACTGCCGGGGGAAGAAGGAGACGGCGGCGCGTGGGGTGCAATTGCTGCGGCAGGCGGAGCAGGAGACCCAGGTAAGGTCGCTGCCGGTGTCCGCGACTAGGAGGAGGCGCTGCGGAGGGGTGCCGAGGTGGAGGGAGACGAGGTACTGGCCGGAGCCGAAGGAAGCGGCGGAGTGGAGCGGGAGCTGAGCGTGGGAGCGCTTGCCACCAATGGCGGATAAGAGGGTCGAGAGGCGGCGGTTGTCGGCGGAGAGGGACTCCGGTGAAGTAGGAGGGTAGTGGTTTTTATGGAGGAGCGGTAGCTTGAGGTAGTGATCGGCGGCGGCGGAGGAATGTGGGATGACGACTGCGAGTAGGAAAAAAAGAAAAGTGAAGAAAACAGACAAATGGGATGAATTAAATGCCATTAACATTGTTGGAGATCAAGATTCAAATGCAGGTGGTTGATGTGTAGAGACGATGAGAGTAGGGTGGGGTGGGGTGGGGAGTTGGCTGACATCAATAGAGAGAAGATGTACGAATGGAGAGTATTTAAGAGACACATGTGATTGATAATTCTAAGAAGCATCCTATTTTTATTTTTTATTTAAAAATAATTATATTAGTGCACATATTATATTTTTTCTATTCATTTTTGTAATAATTTTTGAATTTACTAAATGTGGCCAATTTGTATTTAAGAAAATAATCTTTATTAGTACATGATAAATATTCCTTGGTCATGTGATATGTTGTGTTGATTTTGCGGGGATCTATGGTTTTGTTTGTTTTTGTATAGTTTATGATTATTAATAATGGTATGGGAAGAAAAAAAGAGTAATTAGTTAATATTAGTATATAATATTGGAGTGAGTTTGGATGGAAGGATTTGGGGAGGGATTTGATTTGGGGAAGGAATTTGAAATGACTCCAATTTTGGAGTTATTTGAAATCCACCTCAATTGCTCAAAACATAACTAAAAAGGAGGGGGGTGGATTTGAAATCCATCCCCAAATCCCTCAATCCAAACAAGTACAAGGGATTTGTTATTATGGATTTGAAATCCCTTCCCCAAATCCTTCCATCCAAATGCACCCTTGGTTAAATTAAGTGCATGGAAATATGGGAGGATGAGAGGTTGTCGGCTTTTGAGATCCTACACCGGGTGAAATACACCGGGTACATCTTTACCATTTATATACACACAAACACACACACACCCACATTGGTATATGTAGATCAACGGTAAAAAATCACCAGGTGTAACCTTCACCGGGTATAGGATAGATAAAACCGAGGTTGTCGGAACCATGGGTGTAGCCTAGGTGGACGTGTGGTGAGGATCCAATGATGTTCGATGACCACACGATGCATGAATGCTTACCTGGCAAATTATATTGCTTTTTTTCTTTTATTAATATTTGGAAAAGGCTTATTTGCACTCGTTCAGAACCTAATTCAGTCTCACAAAAAAACACATTTGCTAGTGATTTTCGCAAATAAATGCCCTTAGTTAAATACTAAAATTACGCACTCTCTTTTCCCTCTCCGTTTACTTTCTCTCTCCAAATTCCAAACCTGATCCCATTTTTTCCAAAATTTTCGGGCCGATTTTTCTTCACCAAATCACTACTCTAAAATACGGGTCGGTCTTACCCGATCCAGTGCAGCGGGCGAGCCGGTTTTTGGACTAGGCTCAATTCAATAAAGGAAATAAGGCCCAAACTCGTAACTGGGCTAATAATTGACATAAAAACCAGAAATATCCAAACAGTGATAATTCAATTTTTTTGTTAATAATTGCAAATGCCTAATATCTGGAGATCAAAATCCACACCAACAATGTCGGCTAGCTAACATTTGCTTTGTTTTTATTTATTTATTTATTTATTTATTTATAATTAATGTATAGTTTCTGAAATTAAAACCAAATTTGGCTCTCAATGTATAAACCCATATAATATAAGTAATTAAATTAGTAAGAAATTTAAATCTTGTATAATTACACTTTTAATGTTCTTGAGAATTGTGATTTTCCGGTTGAGCCCAAAAAATAAAAAATAACTAAAAAGAAAATAGCAGATTTACAGAGCATAATACAGTAGAACCTCGATACATTAATACCCGATAAATTAATAACCTCGCTTAAATGATAAATTTTTCCAGTCTTGATTCGGGGACAACGTGCTTAATTAATAATTCGCTAAATTTATAAGATAATACACATTCAAAAATTTTAAGAAGCCCCATATAATATATAAATTAATAATTAATAAAAATAATTCTTAAATTACATGGTACAATACATATATTATAGATCTATGAAGGCTTAATACAATATAATTCAACTGTCGCTTGTTTCTTGTTGAAGTTCGCATTACCATCAATCTCGTCCCTCACTTTTCTTAACATGGTTAGAACTTTCGGTATATTTTTCTCGTAACTCAACATAAATCATTTTATACCATTGTTGCTTTAAGAGCTTCCGTTCGTGAAACGGGCTCTATAGTGAATTGAACTAATGGTACAATGAATAATATACACGTAATTTTTTTTTAAATATATCTATTAAAAATAATAATAAAAGCAATTTCATAAATTAAAAAGTTATTGATTAATGTATAAATTAATAATTATTAATTTATCGATAAGTTAATATTTCACTAAATTAATGAAAATAGTTTCAACTGTATTAATTTATAGATGTTTAACTGTATATTGTAATTTATTTAATATTAAATTATTAATCCATCCAAAATAAATACAGTGGTAATATTATTTTACTATGCATTTAATATGCATTGGTGTCTGATGAGAGAGAGAGAGAGAGAGAGAGAGAGAGAGATGTAAGAAAATGAAGTTGATAGCCAATAGGTTGTCCCCCTATCCTACAAACCTACCCGGACCAATTATTTGAACCAGCATTTAACTTTCTTTATTTCCATTGAAGCCCATGTTTCTACTTTCTTTGACTGTACTCTCTCTCTCTCTCTCACACACACACACACACAAACACACACACACACACAAACACACACAGTCTTGTTCTTCATCATCATGCAAGCGACTCCGTTCTTACCGGACATGTTTGAGAAAGAAAGATAAAACCCTAACTGTGTAAATTGAATTTATACTGAACCATAATTCATAAGCAAAATCTCAGACATGTTTACCGACGAATCTTTTCCCTCTGATCATCGAAACCCTAACCCTAGCTCCATACAAGAATATTACAACAACCCTCCATTTCTCTTCACTAATAACAACTCCTGCTCCCCTCCACCTTTTCTCGACGATCACGACTCCCCGTTGAACCAGATTTTCTTGTTCCACAAGAAACCCCAACCACCACCATCACTACTGAAATGCAATAGTACTATCGACGAGTCGTCGTCGTCGAAATTGGATGAAAAGGAAAAGGAAGTCAATCGGATAATCTCTAGAGGGAACACGATCTCGCCGTTGAAGAGACGGAACCTCGGCGCGATTCCGCGGAGGAGAGCGGGGAAGAAGGACAGGCATAGCAAGATCTGCACGGCTCAAGGGATTCGAGATCGACGGATGAGGTTATCTCTTCACGTTGCTCGTAAATTCTTCGATCTTCAAGATACTCTTGGCTACGATAAAGCGAGCCAGACGATCGAGTGGCTGTTTAATCAATCGAAAGGGGCAATAAAGGAATTGGCCAAGAATGATGATCAAGAAAAGAGCCATGATCATGTGGAAGAATATTCCGATTTTAATATTTCTGAATGCGATGAAGAACCGGGATCGGGAATAATCGAAGAGAATAATAATAATAATTTGATGACGCCATTTTGCGTTGTTAAAGACGAGATCGTTAGAAAACCTAGCAAGAGGGAGTTGAGGGAAAAGGCGAGAGCTAGGGCGAGGTGTAGAACACTCGAGAAGATGATGAATAGATGGTCTAGATCAAACCCTAGTGACGAGGATCGTCTTTCGAAATTAGGGTTTTTTAATAGCCCTTTTGAAGGTGTTTTTGTTGATGGCGGTGATCAAGAATCGAAGTACGAAACTAATAACCAATTTGTTTGTGATTCGATTGATCATGATCAAAAGCAGTACTTAGCCGACGTGGGAACGATCGAGAAATTGCTGATGGGGAATTCGCAGAGTAGTAGTTTCGATATGGGAGTTCTTGGAAACTGGGATGTGTCGAACAACGTTGATCGAACAAATTCGATTATCGAATATGGAGTCTCAACAATTCATGAAGAGGAGCCATTGGCAGGTAAACCCTAATAATTATTCAATTTACTCGATCGGTTACCTCGAAATTTATTTCCATGGTTTGATTTTCAGTAAATTTCATCAATAATTGCACACCCCTATTATTTACTATATATATTTGTCAGAAGTTTGAATCCCTTTGATATTTCTTGTATCGGTTTAGGGTTAATAATATTGTAATCATCTTCTTGTTGATTTTCGATTCCGATTCCGAGTTTTCTTGTTTGTTAAATTTACATATGTTTTTAGTGTGCCAGTTACTTGTTTATGTGACAGTAAAATAGGAGAAAAAATAAATATAATAGCCGCAATACATTAAAGTTGTCTTTTAATTTTGGCAAACACATATTACATAAATATTGAAAAAATAAATGGTTTCAGTTCATGACTAAATATAAATAAAAGATCAGCTGTCTTTAAATTATCAGACGAAAATATAATTAATTCACATATATGTATATCCTTGTAACATTTATTTACAGCATTATTGTATGTTATATATATACAAGCATATATATATAGTCTTAGATGAGAGAACAGTGTACATAAATTTCAAATGAAAATGATTTAGTTTTGAGATATATAATACAGTGCAGCTAGCCTTATAATAACACAACCACCATAACCTAAAACCGATCGACGAGTTCCCCGTAAAGCTTTAATTAATTTGCAAATTTTCTTGCAATCGTTAGTGCACGAATATAAGTTGACGTTAAATATTTCTAACGACACGACGACACTAGCTAGATAATTTAATCGATTGAAGAAGAGCCTTCGATTCATCTTTAAACTGCAAACATTTTATATTGAAATGAGGGTTTTCATTTTTTTTTTCAGTCACTAATATATATATATATATATTTTGATCCCAAAACTAGATCTAATGATTAAAGTAAAATTATTGAGGATTGACAAAAAACTTAGCAACAAATTAAAACCCTTCATCTCAGTAAATGTGGTCAACAAAAGACAAAATAATGTATAGTTAAACCTAAAAAACTAACAAAGAAACCTTTGACTCAATTAAGCTGCAATAATTTTTCATGTATACCTCCAGGCTTCATATATATATATATATATATATATATATATATATATATATATATATATATATATATATATATATATATAATATGGCTTCTTAAATAAATTGAGTGAGCTACTAAATGCAAAGGCGACGGCAAATTTAGAATACTATTACTAATACTAATATTAATATTTATATTATATATAAAAGAAAGAAACACTAGGGCAACCTAAGAAACCTCAATGGCATATTTGTAAAAATAAATAAATTTATGCGTATATATAATTTTTTACCTCCCATTTTACAACCATTTATTTCCTAATTACTTTAATTTATCACCAAATCTCAACCAGCACAATCATAATCCACTATATATAAATATTTTTTTAATAATAATAATAATAATAATAATAATAATAATAATAATAATAATAATAATAATAATTATTATTATTATTATTATTATTATTATTATTATTATTATTATTATTATTATTATTATTATTATTATTATTATTATTATTATTATTATTATTATTATTATTATTATTATTATTATTATTATTATTATTATTATTATTATTATTTTATCTCCTATTTTCCAGCCTATTTTCTCTATAAAAAAATTGCTTCATTTATTTAATTATCCATTCATATTATGACTATTAAGTTTTTATAGTTTTTTTTTTTTTTGAATGAGTTTGTATTATTATTTTTTTTATAAATGCTGATGTTGTTAACGATATCACTAATAAATTTTATTATAATTATAATTATTATCATATATTAAACTAATCATCATTTTTATTTGAAATGTTATCCCGTGCATCGCACGGGGAAAAATGCTAGTACTAATAATAACATGTGGACCTTTGTAGTATATACTCAAAATATATTTATATTTATATATTTGGATAATGAAGATATAATAAGCTGAAATCCGATGGGCCCAAAATTCAAATAAGAATGAACAAAGTAAAAGCCCAATAGGACCATTACTGTATTTATACTGGGCTTTTTTTAAATATGGGCCAGCATAAAAGCCCATTATCCGATATTTATTCTTTTTTTTTTTTTTTTTAATTTCTATTAATAATTAAATATGCAGTAATTGGCACAAATTTTGCATATCACAATCAAATTACCTCAAAACCTATGAACAACTTTTAATTTCTCCTCTATGTGGTCTTTCATGATTGTGTATTATTAGGAAGTAATAATTAAAATGATCATGCACTAGTAAAACAAGTATTTATCTTCTTCCTCAATCTTTCACCTTTTTTTCTTTCTTTTTTCTATCTCTTCACAAACATTAAGTATATATATAAAGATTGCTTGGTCCAAAGAATACATATGTTGATGGCAATCTCCCCACCCCTCACATGATTTACTCTCACACATATGTCTAAACTCAGTTGAGCTGAACGCATGTTTGTTCCAGTTTTTTTCGGGCTTTTAAAGTTGTGTTTTTGTGTTTGGTTTACTAAGAGATCGAGTGAGCTAAGGCTTGAAAAAGCTTTAATCAAGCTAAAATAGATATTGAGCTAGTTCGAGCCGAGCTTTTACAGTTCAGTCGAACAAAAATATGTTCATATTTAGTTTGTTATGTTTAAAAATTGAGCACAAACAAGCTCTTAACAGACAATCTTGAATCGAGTATCGAGCAGTTTGATTTGATTTTGGTCGGCTCTAATCTAACACACACATATATATATATATATATATATATATATATATATATATATATATATATATATATATATATATATATATATATATATATATATATATATATATATATATATATATATATATATATATATATATATATATATATATATATATATATATATATATATATATACATATATATATATATATATATATATATATATATATATATATATATATATATATATATATATATATATATATATATATATATATATATATATATATATATATATAAAGAAAAATGAATTTTGACCACCATTTCCCACTTTCAAGAAATATAATATACTTATAAGCCTAGTACTATATATCAATAGTTAAACCACAATCAAAACATTATACAATAATAAAGGGGGGTTTGACAATCTACATTACTTGATTTTTAAGGAAACTTTTATTGGAAACTTAACTTCATCACCTCCCCTAAACATTTAATTACAATATAAACAATAGCTCCCAACTCTCTACAAATGGAAGCAAGCACTTACCATCTAGCTATCTAATTTCAAAACCCTCTTCTTCTTAATCTTTATATTTGTTTTGCTCTATATTTGTACTCAATTAGCTGTCAAAAACAAATTTCTCAATCCACTAAACAAATTTATAAAATTAAAAAAAAAAAAAAAATTGCCCCATTTTTCTCTCCTTATTTCATTCATCCATGCTTCTCCTTATTCAAATACCCTACTTCTCCTTCACCATTTTTCTCCACACTATGGTCATGAAAATCCCTCTTCTATTATCTCCATCCTTTGGTTTCTTCTCATCTTAATATTCTTTCATCAATTCCACAACTTCAAAGACCTTCAAAATAGTTCGGCCGTCGTCGTCAATGCCACGTCATCTAGTACTTTAGGGCACCATCATCGCCAAGTGCCTTTGATCGCCCGACATAGGAAGATATTGGCCGAAAAGTTCGACTTCACTCCGTTTCTCAACCGCCACCGTCACCGGAAACGTCCGCCACCAAGTGGAAGAGAGGTCGTCGATCCACTTTACGGTGTCGAGAAACGGCTCGTACCCACCGGTCCGAACCCTCTACACCATTAGCTATAGCCAAGTGATATTTGACTTTATATTAATTGTTTTGATTTAATTAGTTCTCAAAATGTATCGTCTTTTTCGAAAACGTCGAGTTTCTTTTTTTTTCTTTTTTCTTTTTTTACATTTTTATTATTATGTAAATTGTATGATGACAAGAGTAGTATTAATTTGAAGTAGATACATTACATGAATGATTTTTTTCTTCATATATTTAGTATGATGATTAATGAATAGTTAATAGTAATTATTATTAGTTACAAATAATTAATGAAACATATGAGTAGCAGCGACGGCACGGCAGAGGAGAGAAAATGCATTAGTACTTACTACTTAATTTGCTAACGCCACTAATTAATTAATGATTTAATGAAATATTAATTAGTGTGGTTGGTCAAAATAGGGTCCTTAATTGTGGTTGATTACTTAGAACAGAATTTACAGTGTGGCGTGCATTGCACGTGATGAGATGTGTGCTAATGTGGCAAAATCCATGTTTCCTGCTGGGCCCATGTGGAATTTTTATTACCCTTAATTCTTGCTACAAAGTACAAATGATTTTACTAATATATATATATATATATATATATATAATTTAATTTCGTGGTTTAATTTACTTTTTTCTGATTGGTCAGATGGAATACAATTTCTTGATTAATTTCTCGGATCTATTTGTTTTCTTGCTATTTGCTTTTTTTGTCCGTTTTTTTTACAACGGTCGCTAGGTGAAGCTTGTCACACATGGTTAGCATAGTATAGTTTACGCCCCTCGTATGATTTGCAAGCTATTATACGAGAGTGTAGATTTGGCCACTGCAGTTTTTTCATTGCCAAAAAAAAAAGTATATACAATTGCATAATAGCTAACATATATAGGTTTACTCAGTGCACCAGTAACGCGCTATTTATAACCTATATTATACTTAAAAAGTGAACAGGTCTATTTTGAAGAAATGTACAAAGTAATTACAACAAACCAATGTGCATAGTCTAACAAAACTCCACAGAAACTGAAGTGAGAGTTTGACTTTCACAAAAAAAACAAGAAGTCATATGTATCTCATTCTTGATTGGCTAGACTTGGTCTTCAACCCTTCATGGCATGCTCTTGCCGTTGACTCAACTACCTCAGATGGAGTCTATAGTTGACTTTTTGGTTACTAGTAGCAATTGTCCCTTCTTCTTTTTTCTCTATAGTTTCTCAATTTATTCAATAATTACTTTCTGAAATATTTGACTTCCTCATTCATAGTATGCACTAAAATTATCTTGTTCAATATATAATTCAGTACTAATTTGAATAGTAGCATTTAATTGCCAACCTAAATTAATTTAAATATTAACATTCGAACATCTTACTAACTTTTACTATTTAGTCAGCAATCGAACAAACGAGGTGTAACTATATCTTAAACCAATATCATCATCATCATTTATTATTGAACCCTACTGCGTAACAGAAGTTGAAGTAGTCTCCCCCCATCTTCCAACTGCTACCCAAATTTCAGAAGAAATTAAATAATTCTCCACGTATAAAAACACAATATTTTCTTCAATTTTAGGATCAAATTCAAAAACCTTTCTTTTTCTTGAAAAGATCTAAACCATAAAAAAAATTAAAAAAAAAATGGTTCGGCCAATAGTAAACCATGCAGGTGCAGAGAGTAAATATTTCTCACACATCGCCCCTCTTGCAATAGGCCTGTTTGTTTCAGTATCATTACTCGTAGCTCTGTGCGCAAAACATGCAAGAAAATATACCTCCAAAACAACCGAAGCAAACACGCCTTATTACAAGAAGTCGCCATTACCGTCGCCAAAGCAGCTTATCTCGGCTCTTCTCATTCATCACCATGCCAAGAAATTACCGGAGAAGCAGCAACCGGATACCGGAACGAAAGGTCAATTAGAAGAAAGTACGGCTGCTGGGCTGTGGCAGAAGGCAATTCTGATGGGGGATAAATGCCGGCCGCCCGACTTTTCCGGCGTCATATATTACGATTATGCCGGTAATAGGGTTTCGGAGATGCCTATGTCACCCAGAGTGGGCCCCATGAGCCCTTTGAGAAATTTTAATTTTCCTACTGATGTGAAATTTTGAAAGTATAGAGTTTGGTGTCAAGTTTCAATTTGCATTTATGTTCTTATTTAATCTTTTTTTTTTTAATTTAATGTTAACCAAATAGAGGATATGATGATATTACGTTGGGAGGTGATAACCGTCGTTTCAATTTTTTACATTTATCGTTTCGACTTCAAACATATTTTTGACCATTTTTCAATCTAAACTCAAAATAAGGAATCTATAGTCCTTTGAGTTAACTTTTCAATCCAACTTTAATCAGAAACTTCGAACGTTGTGAGAGAAAGATATGCATTAACGAATGAACACCCTATATTATTTTTTTATGTTTCGAGTTTTCTAAATTCAAAATGTAACTCGTTCGTGTATAACTTTGTCACACGACATCCAAATAACTGAATAAAGTTGGATTAGAAAACGAACTCAAAGGATTACAAGTTCTATCTTTCAAATTTTACCAAAATCAGACTCCAAAATGATCAAAATCACGTTTAAAGTCGAAACTGTATTATTAATAAAACTGAAACGATATTTAGCATTTTTTTAAGAAGAGATATTCAGTATTTTCAATATTAAGTTCTATTGATTTGGTTTATATTATAAAACAGATCATTTGATTATACTGTTCTCTAGAATACTATCAAATAAAATGTTTACTTTGACTAATAATACAATATATGAGGAGCCATTTGATAGAAAATACAGAAATGAGGGACGAAATTGAAAATAATCGTTCCCTTTCCCAAAAAGGTGGGGGGTGCGAAAAGCATTTACCTAACAATACCTAATTTGCAAATCACACCCTCCGTCTTCTCCCCCCAATCCTCAACTCCCATCTACATTCCGAATTACATACAGCAGGTAAAACTCTGTTCTCAATTTCTCCACTCGGTTCAACAATGGCGTCGTGCGCTTTCCCCCTTCTCGCGCAATCTATTTTTCCTCCTTCCGATTTCACGTATTTTCACTGTGTTTCTCCACTGAAAACGGTGCACAGAAGTAGAAGAAAATCAAGGAGAAATGGGGCTATAATTTTGACCATGGCCGCCGCCGCCAATGCCGCATCAAACGACGCCGGAGGTGTTAATCCGACAAAGCTCGTTACTTTCTTAGGTAAAGGCGGCTCCGGCAAAACAACCGCCTCCATTTTTGCAGCTCAGGTATATATACACACATATACAAACACACACTCACACGTTAATTTGACTATGTTAATTTCCTGTGCCCTAGAAAGATAATTTATTATGTTAATTGTTGTATCTGCATCAAGCATTATGCTATGTTGGGGCTCAAAACATGTCTGGTGATACATTCACAAGATCCGACAGCTGAATATCTTCTCAATTGTAAGATTGGATCATCTCCTACCAAATGCAATGACAATTTGTCAGCTGTTAGACTTGAAACCACAAAGGCACGTTTTTTTTTTTTTTTTGAATTTTTAAATGGTCTGGTTAATCTGGTATCTGTTTGATTTTTTTTATTTTTTTTTTTATTTTTAGTGAAAAAAGTGTTTATTAAGTGCAGATGATTCTTGAACCACTTAAACGGCTCAAGCAGGCCGATGCACGTGTGAATATGACACAAGGTGTTCTTGAAGGGGTAGGTATGTAATAACCTTTAAGTCTTGGTTTGCATATTGCCCGGTAGCATATATATATTCGTATGGATCACTTCTTCGTAAATTGGTATAGGTGGTGGGTGAAGAGCTTGGTGTACTCCCTGGCATGGACTCTATATTCTCTGTTTTGGAAATCGAAAATCTTGTAGGATTCATCCGTAATAATGTCTCTCAAAAAAACAACGAAAAACCCAAATTCGACATAGTTGTTTATGACGGTATAAGCACAGAAGAAACCATACGCATGATTGGTGCAACCAGTAAATCGAGGTTTCTGAACGAATACCCTCTTCTTTTTTTTGGCCACCCTTGTTTTTCATTTATATGCTCATATTGTTTTTTTCGATTGTTGGTTGAAAAGATTGTACTTGAAATATATGAGGAATCTAGCTGAAAAAACCGATCTAGGGAGGGTGGCGAGCCCATCTATATTGAGACTTGTTGATGATGCGTTGAGTCTAAGTGGCAGGGGTAACAATCTAAATGGGAGAACGAGTTCGGAAATATGGGATTATCTTGAAACAACGTTGACGGTAATTTATTAAGGTTTTCTTGCTATAACTTGTTTATTTTTATTTTTATTTTTGGGGAATCGGAATAATTTGCTGATGCTAGTTTCCGTATATCTTTGTTCTACAGAAATTATCTTCTGTATTCGCAGAACCAGCGAAATTTGGGTGCTATCTGATGATGGATCCGAATAATCCTATGTCGGTTAATTCAGCATTGAGGTATTGGGGTTGTGCAATTCAAGCTGGAGCTCAAGTATCTGGTGCATTCGGGATAACTGCACCAGATTCTCTTATTGCATTAGGTGAAACTGTGGAGAATAACTTTTCGCCGTTGCCTTGTGCTTTTGTTCCGTATCTCAAATTAAATAATCGTTTAAATTGGAACGAGATTATGGTGGGAAATCAGAGCGAAGGAGCGCGAAATATACTCTCGGATACTAACAACAAGAGTCTCCGAAATTCGGTTAAATTTGATCCATCCGATAAATCTGTGAAGCTGTTTATGCCTGGTTTTGACAAGTCCGAAATCAAGCTGTACCAAGTATGTTCCACAACTTCTCTTTTTCTTTTTTTTAAATAAAAAGAATCATTCTTATTTGTAAGTGGAAAATGAAAGACGAGACTTTTGCGAAAAATTGCAGTTCAGAGGTGGATCGGAGTTGCTAGTGGAAGCAGGGGATCAAAGGCGCGTGATTCGACTTCCTTCCGAAATTCAGGGCAAAGTAGGAGGTGCCAAATTTGTTGATAGAAGTCTTGTCATCACAATGCGATAGTGCTGATTCTTGCTTATATATATATATATATATATATATATATATATATATATATATATATATATATATATATATATATATATATATATATATATATATATATATATATATATATAAAATAAAAAGTCTTATATATATCAAGAGTTGTATCTTTTACAGTATAGAAAGAGGTTGAAATCGTTAAATTTGTAGTCGAACTATCGCATTTCTTCGCGAGAAGAATTAATTGGAGTTCCGAAGCATAATAATGCCCAATTTCGTGTTTAATTATGCAAGTGAAACATTTGATCCTACAACCTCTATTATACAATTTTTTTTCTAACTCTTCCTTCACATAATAATGAGTCGTACTAGAGTAGAAATCGGACGGATCAGATCGGATCGGAATTAGCACTAGGAAAATTTCCAAATCCCATTTTTCTAATTATGTTCCCAAAAACTGGAGTCGCAATTTCAAAAATCGGAACGAAAAAACTAGTTCCAAAATCGGAATTTTTTTATCATAACCAGCGGAAATTCGGTATTTCTATTTCAATTTCCATCCCTAGTTCGTATAAAAGTGGGATGTCAATTATTATTATAAAAAAAAACGGACAAAGACTATATTCGCGCTCCCACAAAACACGAACTGGAAAAAACAAAAGGAACAACACATTATAGTAGAGCATGGTCTTGTTCATCAACTCCAAGAAAATTACAACATCCTCCTCAAAGATCCTAATATCCTAGGAATAAAATATAAATATACCTCTTTGGCAGTTACGTTATGCCCGTGATTTTAACATCACAATTTAACTCTCCCATTTCCACCTTCGCCCTGCTTCTAGAAGGACCTTCGCACGAGCTTGGCTTTTTCTTGCCTCGTCCTCAATCCAAGATCTGCACCAACAATACCTTCCACAGTCAATTTTTTTTATTTAAAAAAAATTAAAAAATAATAATAATAGCGCATAATAATTATTACCTCAATATACGCAGCGCTTCAACTTCAGCTTCAAGTATCGATTTCGCATCGACCAATCCTTCAAAATTCGCCTCTAAATCACGTTTAATATCCTTCATCCCACATTGCTCATCGATACATTCATTCCTCTCAATACAAATTCTCTCACTCAAATTCGCAACTTCTGCTTTTAAGCTCGAGAGCAACTGCTCCTGACAATCCAATGCTGCTTTTTGCTTCACAAATTCAGCCAAGGCATTTTCTTGAAAATTCTTCTCTTGTTCCAGTGCACTAATGGCGGAACGGTAATTTGCTTCAACTTCCAGTCCACGATTTCTTTCTTCTTCAATCTTCGTCTCCCAAAACTGCTTTATCTTGCCACTTTCTAGAAGCTCAGACACAACTTCTCTAAATTCAATTTGCCTTAAAATGTTTTCAGCTTCGATTCTCGATAATTCATCCTTGATGAATTCTGTCGTTCTTCCACTTGTCAGTGCAACTGCAGCCTGACCCTTTGTGCATGGTTTACTAGGTTGTAATCGTTTGCTCTGTCCTGTGAAGAAAACGTCGTTTAGTTGTACATAAACTAATTATATAATAAACTGGAAGAAATAGAAGAAAGGAGAGTAGAGAGTAACCGAAAACTCCTCTGATTATGCTTTTTTCGTCGGCACGAATGTCCACAAAAAGATCCACTAATACGTTTGAAGCAATCTCCTTCACATCCAAGAAACCAATGTTCTTTCTTGATATCTGAACTGCAAGAAAAATCAGGCTTTTAGAGAGAGAAAACAAAAAACTATTAATTTGTATATTTTTAGAGCTAAAAAATATTCCTACCTCTTCATTGATTCCTGGTACGACTTCATACTCGAGTTTTGCTTTCCAATTAACTAGATCCTGGCGACATATAAACCTATTACATAAAAGATTACTATTTTCAGTCAAGATATGAAATTTGGAGTACAATTGGGAAGAATATAAAATTTGGAGATCTTAAGGTACCTCTCAGGAAAAAACTCGACAGCTTCGTTCGAATTTGAGCCGTCGGACAGTTTGCTTCTAACAATACCAGCCTCGGCTAGAGCTAAATTCAGATTTAACACAATATTCAAATTATTTAGCCTCACCAGAAAACAGTCACAGTCGAATCTAACAAAACCTTACATTGGATATATTCGAAATCGGGGTCTTCGACTCCCACATCATTAAAAGCAGTAATTCTCGATCCAGAAAGTGCAGCAGAGGTATTTACACGGTGATTTCTTCTCCTAGAAACAAAATAAAGCACTCGGAATCAGGATTGTATAATAGCAATCAAATCGACCTTATTTTTATAAATTAAACGAGAAAAAAAAGGGTATGAATCTACAAATACCTCTCCAGTAGTAAATTTGACAGCACTAACCACCGTGCATACTCCCGCCTTGTACATAGTTCATCTCCTTTAACATCACCTTCAACGATCTGTAAATTATCCAAGGGAAAAATCAAAAAATCAATCACCATCTAAGACGTAATTCTCGAAGAAATACCCAACTCCAATGAAACCTAATCTTGAATTTATGAAAAAAAAAAAAAAAACAAGCAATAGGAAGATCAACGGAGGAACTAAATCGTGCGGTAAACATTTTTTTTCAAGCTGCAATGATTTTCGAGACTTATAGAGCTCCTTCTTTTTATAAGAGACGTTGTTTACGTATAATTTCTCAATTTAACCGGATAGCAGACTGATAATCATTTTTCAAGAATTATAATTAATCGTAAACGAAACAATCTTCACTGCCCTATAGTCAATTAACAGCTATTGCCAAATGTGACAGACATCCACTGACAACATACCTCGAGTGTCTTTAGTGCCAATAGAGCTTCTCTTTGAGCAGAATCCACAGCGAACGGGATTATAATACGCTCGAGCTTTTCTTCTTTCGTGTTATTAAAGCTCGTCTCTTAAAACAGTGAAGAACAAATTAGTAAGAACTACTAGATGTAGAAAGGTACAAAGATGTTTTTTAGAAATTAAACGTAATTCTGTCAAACTGCCAAACTTACTCGACACAGCTCAAGACCAAATCAAAATAAAGCAATACGAAAAAAAAATCGATTTCAACATAGTCATATGAAATTCACCTGTTGAAACAAATGCATCTGAAACGTCATCCGAAGTTTCATCAGCCATGTGAACGTCTTCCGTTACCTCATCATCACTAACTTCATCGTTTTTAATGTCACTCGTAATAGTCGATTGTGGCACTGACGATCCACGTATAGCATCAAACGGACTTCTGAGCCGAAAACCAAAACCTGATGAAGCATAATAAAAATATATATATATCAAACTAGCAATTCGAACCAGATAACTTAAAACTGGATCGCGAATTGGATCTCGGTTACACACTCATCTGCTAAGTTAACTCTAATAATTGAATCCAAGACTTAATAAAACAACCTTTGCTGGAGAGTGAAAAATAGGCAACTAAACCAAGAACAGCAGCAACTGAAGCTCCAATGCCGATTACAGAAAATGTGTAGGTACCTACAAAAAAACCCACATAATATATAATCCCACATTTGCAAATACTTGTAAAATAAAATAAGAAATATAAAAGCAAGGCTCATAAAATGCACGAAGATCAAACACTTACCTTTCTTTTGAACTGGTTCAGGGGCAGATTCGACAATGTCCCAACCATTGTATTCATCGTCCGAAGCTTTGTCCGAAGAAACCCACGAAAATTCAAGACCCGAATTCTTCTCGGCGATTGAAGCTGATATGGGGAAGTGGCTAGGGTTTCTGGGCCTGATGTGTAATGGGTTGCCTGAAAAACTGAAATTGAAACGGCGGCGTAACAAAGTATGGGTCTTTGACGGAAAGAAGAGAGAGAAGGATGAGATTGAAGAGCACATCTTCTAGGGTTTTTTTCTGAATTCGAATTCGGGAATCGGAGTTGGTTTTAGGGTTAGACCACCTTCATATCACACAGAAACAAACCAACCAACCAAACAGCCATTAACGAGGATATGAATGTGTACTGCAACTCTGCAACAAAATTTCTATTTGCTCTCTCTTTCCATCTCCCACTCTTTCTATTTTCCCTTTTTTCTGATTTGTGTCTATTTTAATAATTTTGATAATTTAGATCCCTTCCGAGCAAATATTTAACAATTGTTTTATCTATTTACGGAATTGGCATTTTGCACCCTACAAAGTACAAATAGGCATATTTGACACTTCACACCATCGGACTATATAAATGATAGATTACACCCTTTAATTTAACCTTCCTTGCTGTTAGCCCTTTAGTCGGTGACATCGGCTATGACTCGAGTGTGGCCGAGTCATAGCCGAGGAAGAGTGCCAAGCAAGGGTTGGCACAAGACAGTCACATAATCGGCCAATGAGTGGTCGAGTGTTGGGTAAGCATTTTGGGTGTTTGTCCGAGAAAACAAGGAACTGCTTGATTCAAGTGGGAACGTTGATCGAAAGTAATTACAGCTGGCACGGGCGTTGCTCGGCAGGGAATGCGGACAAGCGTGGGCAGTAATCGGCATGTGGCCGGGAACTTGGGCAAACGAGCGTTCGAAGGAAATCGACTACGACTTGACAAGTGTGGGCAAGTTGGCACGATCGATTGACAAGTTAAGGAAAACAGCCTGATGTGCAGGTGTGCCAATGACAGTGTGGGCAAAGAACTAGCAAGTCATTGGCAGGGCAAGCAAAATGTGCGGAAAAGGCAAGACAGATGGGTTGCCTAGCAATCGGCCGGGCTGTTTTGGGTCGTTTGGCGCGCACGCGCGCGCCCGATCAAGATGGGCCTCGAAAACCAGCCATGTGGGCGGTTTTGAGGGAAGTTGTGGAGCGGTTGAGGCCTGGAAAGCATGAAAAACTGCCCCTTATTACTTGTAATAGTTAACCAAGTGTCAAGTATATATGCTGCCAAGTGTCCTTAGGTAGTTTTATGTGAAAACTACATTTTTCCTTGTATTTATATGTATTTATATGGCTATGAGTGCACAAATCCGAGCCATCTAGCATTAGAGAGTTCAGATTGCAATTGTGGGCATTTTGAGTGAGGATTTTGTGTGTGCACCTTAGTCTCCTTTGTATTCTTTGTAAGAAATAAATATAAAGGTTGGGCATTGCCCGTAAACGTGCTTGTGTGTTGTTTTCCGCTGCATATGCTTGTGTTCGTTTATGTTGGCTTAAAAGACTTATGTTTGTGCGTTTTGTTCAAAGAGAATCAAGAAGAAGGTTGATCAGGCCGCACGGACAAAAAAAAATTTGGTAGGCAAATCAAGCCGTACGGGCAAAAATTTCTTGAGTAAAGAAACCCCTGTGACGCTTGCCATAATGCACCCCATGAAGCATGAGCTAAAACTTGCATCGGACAAAGTGATATTGCAGGGGTAAAATTGTCAACAAATAGTAATTATCAAACGCATAAATGTCAATAACAACATCCACAAGAAGATTAAAAGCTCTAGCATTAGTTTTCGATTATCAAGAAGTCTCAATAAAAGTACAAAAAAAAAAAAAAAAACAATAGCTACAATCATTTAGGTGCAACTGAATTAGGGAATTTTTACAACTAGTAGTAAATTGAAGCGGACAACAAACAACCTGCGAGAAAATCGAAAGATCCTAAATCCGATGTGTCCTCATTCTTATTAGTTAAACAACCAACACAAAATGCACAGACATTACAAACAACCGGTACCGAACCAATACCTCTGTCCAAGGGAGGACAGGATTGCCATAGTTTCTTCTTTTCCATACTTCAAAAAAAAAAAGTCTTAAATTGAACGACACATGCTCGAGATTTTTCTACGGTGCACGATTCTGATTCTGCCCAACTCGACCACGCCCCCTGCCCCCATAGCCGTATCCACCCCCATATCCACCACCACCGCCATAACCCCCTCTTCCATGGTAAGAGCCATGAAAACGCGGCCCACCACGCCCGGGGCCACGGCCCCCTCGACCCCCTCTATACCTCGAAAAATCTCCAAATGTCTGCACACGACAATAAATACTATATTTTAGCAACTCCTTAAATGTAAAAATTACATATATCACAACAAAACGGGGTTTGTATAAATGTATATACCTCTGTATCTAACTTCATTTGTTCGGAATACCTAGTCCTTCCGTGATTCGGGTCATTGTCCAGTGCATGTGAGGAAAGGGAATCGAAAAAGTCATCCTTGTTGTAAACCGGCTGCAAAAAAACAAACATATAACCCAACATGAAAAATAAGTTCATCAATAAATCAAAAAATTAATCTTAGTAGACAGTATAAGAAAGTCGGTTTGAACTCGACCTTTTGCAAGTCAGCTTCATCTTCGTCCTGATAATCATCTTCATCACTGCCACTAGCGTTTCCTTCTTTTGATTGAGATTTGTTACTTTTTCCCAGATGACCCCATACTTCGTCTTTCTTGAATTTCTCATTCATTGCCGTAAAATCGAAATCTTCGGTGAATTTTGTCATGGGGCGTGACATCTGCAAGGCAAAAGATCTTAGTTTATTTTACGTTGTATGGCTTAAAAGGAAAGAATTAGGCTCCATGAGAAAAAATCATAAATGCACCAGAAAATGGAATGTGTCAGTGTTACCATTGTGAGAAGCAATTATAAATTAACTACAAAATCAGATAGGGAATGCCATATGGAAGTATATATGAAATAGTTTGAAACGAATGAATCTTGTTAAAGAATAATAGATATTAATCTCAGGAAAATCACGAAGAAATCACAAGCAAGTTCTTACCCCAGGCCCTCTTCCACCACGCCCTCTGTAATTGTTGCGCATGTGGTACGCACTTCCATTTGGCTGAAATAAAAACGAAAAAACCATAAAACCAGGGAAATAATGACAATTAGTTATATTAGACATGATCGCTGTATCCTTTAACAAATACGAAAAATGCAGGACAATGAACTTCGCACATGATAAAGATTAGACGAAAAGTAAAGTTACTACTATGTTGCAGCTCACAAAGAAAATTGCAAATGCCACTCCAACCCTATCCGTACCCCTATGTTTAATTTATGGAATTACATAATTACATCAAGTAGCTTTCTTAGACACCAAAAGGCCAGGTTGTGCTAGGCTCCGTTTCCTAATTCTTGCTACTCGTGCCCCAAAATAAAATTATATTTGTTAAACTTTTCAAATTGGACTTACAAAACTTTTGGGAAAAACTGATCTCTTCTTTAAACATAATTTGACTAGCACATTAACAAATGTCTTCTCTAAAATACAAACAAATATCACGTTATCTTTCAAATTCTTCTTCTAACATGCTTCACCAAATCCTTCAAATATGCAGCCACTGTAAATTGTCTCTTCTCGAAATACAAACAAACATTACTTTATTTCTCAAATTCTTCTACCAAAAAATCTTTCCCCGGAATCAAATGGAACTATACCCCTAAAAGGTGCCAAACAAAGGCTAACCAATTAAAAAAATCATTCACCAGAGTCACTCAACTTATCTATTACGTTTAGACACAACCACCAATAAACAAAAGTCTTTGTTGACCGGGTTTACTCTCCATATGTGCAATATAGTGCTTCACCTTTTCACTGTATTCATGTTAATCGTTATATCATTATTTAGTTCAATCATGTTATGCCATCAATCTTTACAGCCTTTAGACTCGAGAAATCCATAAAACAAATCACTTGTACGAACTAGCATAAACTGAAATAAATAATGATTTTCTCATGGCACTAAATCAGAAAGACCAACTTTTAGTCTCACAAAAAGTAACGGATCAAATGCGAAATTTGAGTGCATAGAAGGAAACAAAGCAAACCTTTTGAGCTCGAGTGTTGGTTGGCAAAGGTAATATTGGTGGTTGAGCTTCTGTTACTACAGGGACAGAATGTTCCGATGAGGGTTTTGATGAAACTTGTACTACTTCAACATCCTTCTGCATTGTTTGCGAAGCTTGGGGTGTAGTAACAGGAGCTGGTCCAGACTGCAGAAACTGACCTGGAGTTATAAGCGAAGGTGTAAGCGTCTCTGAAACTGAACTTGATACCACAGAAGCAGATGCTCCAGGGTGGGTCATGGTCTGCTGGGGCAAGGCTGCTAGACCAGGCACTGTACTAGGTTTGCTAACAACTGAATTTACGGCTGCATTATCAGGCATAGACGGCAAGGCAGAGCTTCGAGCCGACATGGGCATAGCGGAAATAGGAGCTTTATTCGGCTGTTGATTGATCATTGGTTCAGAAACTAGTGACAAGGGCTGCATAGGAGGCATGTTCAAAGAGAAAGTCGAAGCGGTTAAAGGGGTAGGGTTTAAGCTAGCAGAACTTGTGCTGTTAGGAACCAAGGAAGAATGGTAATCTGGCAAACTAGACGTGGGTAAGGCAGATGTTGCTGTTGGCAAAGATGTAGTGAAGCCAGAGAATTGCATCTGTTGCAATGAAGGAGGAATTGACAAGCCAGTAGGTGGTCGAAGCATGGGTTGCTGAGGCAATTGAGACATCCCGTTGGGTGTATTGTAGAAACCCGGCCAATACATTGGCATGGGTAGGCCACTGCCATTTGCATTTTGTGGAGAAGGGCCCCATGAATTTAAGTTTCCTCCAGGTTGATATAAATGCAAGTTACTTTGGAAAGGTGAACCAGGGAGGCCCATTTGTGCAGAATGTGAACCATGGTCTGGTAAAGACCCGCTAGGAGCTGTAGGCAAGCTTGTCGATGTGTTTGTCGGGCGAGGGTAATGAGACTGCATAAAAACTTTGATGGTTAGCTAAATAGCAACTTAGCATCAAGTTTCTCCTACATCACTTACTAATATAGTTGCCCCACTACTCACCTGAATAATTGCAGGGTCACTGTTAATGGGTGGTGGCGGTGGTGGTGGAGTGGTTTGCACTGGTGGGGAGGCTTTGACCTGTAAATCCTGAGGAAAAAAGAAACTATGGTTTGAGATATAAGCTAACAGCAAAACGAAGAAAAAATGCTAGTTACAGATGAGAGGAGGAGAAAATTTTGGAGGGGAAAATGGTACAAAAAAAAGCTCATGTATATATACCAACTGAACACTACTCGAGCATAATTAATACATAGTTTCTGTTTTCCTCTGTGATGTATAATAACAGTTTCAAATACCATGTATTGGTTGTAAACAGAATCAGGAGATCTCCTAACAGATGAACATTGAAATAACTGCAAAATTCCCAACAAAAAAAACATGAAATTCAATGTGTACCTTGATGTCACTTCCTCTAAACAATATGTATTCATAAACTTTGTCACTCGGAGGAACTTGTGGACCATCCTTTTTCCGCCCTTCTGTACCGAATGATCTCACTGCCATGTCATATAATGCAGTACGTGATCAGCTCAATACAATGACTCGATCTCAAGCAAAAGATTGAAGGCATGTTAAGTGAAACCCATACAACAATCCATTTTCAATTTAACTGATCTCAATGTCAACGAAATATGCCTACTTCACATGCAGTTAAAGAAACCTAGAAATAACTTTCACCACCATAAAATGAGGCATCCCTAGCTCATGGTAAATATATGATATGTAATGCAGTAAAATAACATATGTATGGAGATAAATTCTGATAAATACATACGGAGCCCAATTATATCCAACACCTCAAGAAGAAGAAGAAGAATAACCCCAAGATAATGCAAAAAGTTATGACAAATATCTTTATCACATAACTGGTAACACTACAAGTCAACATGCTGTAACAGTAAAAAAGGATAAAATCTGATCTTTTACTGCAGACATTCCTAATAAGGAAAACTCAATTGACAAATTCCTAACTATTCAATGAAAATGCCAGGACATATAGCAATCGGAGCCATCTTCCGGTATCACATCAAATTAACTAAGCTGAAGTATAACCCTAACCCGAATTACATATCTGGTACAGAGAATCATTGGAGGAAACCCAATAAAAAAGTAGGTTACAATAATTGCGAGCGATGTAAAATTCAAAAATAGATCAAATAAATCCGAAAGTTTATACATACACAAACTCGAGAAAAATTGATCAAATAAACACCACATAAAAAAATTACCAAAAAAAAATTAAAAAGGAAAGGGAAGAATCTCACCGTTGCGTAAGCCGATGCTAGACTCTTCTGTATTGATGTTGTAGAGTATGCCTTCATACCTGATCTCACTCTTCGAAGTCAAACTAATCAAGCTGCCGATGTAGGAATCCGCCGATGCTCCTCCTCCGCCAGATCTACTGGTCGGAGCCGCCGTTGAACTCTCCGCCGCCATCTAATTGAACCCCTAAACTAAAATATTATCCAGTTGTATTTCGAATTGAAAAGGGGAAGATAAATCATACAATATATACGTATGTGTGTATATGTTGAAAGGGCGAATGGGGCTCAATAATCTAGTGTGTGTGTGTGTGTGTGTGTGTGTGTGTGAGAGAGAGAGAGAGAGAGAGAGATGAACTGTAATTTTGTTCAGATAGAGAGAGAATTTTTTACCCTTCTTTGAAATGAGGACGGTGTGTGTAATGGGCCGAGATTGCAATAGGGTTTTCGGATTCTTTTTTTATTTATTTATTTTTCGGTTTATTTTATTATCAAGCATATTAAATCCCTTAAATTATTAATCATATTAACTCTAGTCTCAATTATTATTATAACAATTATATGAAAAATATTATCAACACAAAAATTGTTTATCATATATTACATTATTATTTCTAAAATACTAATATTCAATTGTGTCAATATTTTCAAAATAGACATTATATTATAAGGGTGAATAGTTATTAATTGCTACTCGCGTTTCAGGTTAACATAACATAAAAATGGGTGCTCATTTCTCTTTGTAAATAAATACTCGTATGGGCACCATAAATAAGACCAGTTGCACATAAGCTTGGACGGTCGAAAAATAGAAGTTCAGCTCTGCTAAATGGGTATATAAAATCCTAACAAGGAGAAGATGTCGCTCGCTCATTACGTCGGACGACGACACGGGGTATAGCCACAAGGTGTTATGTGAGACATCGGGTCGGCATTTTAAGCGAGCTGAAGCTCATTAAACCTAAAAGTTCATTAAATGTGGCAGACCTTAATAAGGAGAAAATTAGGTTAAAAACCTTAATGAAGTTTGTTTTCCAATGCACGTACTATCTATAAATACAGAGTCCACTCAAACTCTTACTCCGTGATGCTTCTTTACTAAAACGCACAATATATATAAAATCTTTTTTTCTAATTTGATCGTCAGAGCTTCTACGACGGAAAAATCCTTCCAGTGCTACAGCAACAACGTCGGACCAAGAACTCACGCAAGAACTACCCAGGTGACCATCACCCCGACGTCATCAAGGCAAAGAAGCACGATCAAATATTATACCATTCTATGAATAATATATTTTGATTTATGATGTTTAAAATAAAAGGTCCCATAATTAGTAATGCCCGAACTCTTTCTTCTGTATCGACGATCGTCGAAAATATAAACTAACTTATTTCAATTACAATAAAAACAAACTATTGCATTATCACAAATCGTTAGAAAAAGTGCAACTCCACTTTGTTATAGTAGTAGTAGCCTAGCCCATTATTCTGAATGGGCCTATTACCTTAATATATAGGCCCAAATATGTTAACTGCGTCAAGTCCGTTATCACGGAACCGTTAACACCTAACAGCCCATCAAATAAATGTGATTTATTTTAAACATCATGAATCAAAATACTTAATTCATATAATAATATAATATTTATTTACCAAAAGAAAAAAAAAAGAACCGGCAAACCCCATTTTCACCTAATCCGTTGACAAAATTGAAATCAAGTCCAAGTGGAACAAAATTAAGATAAACTAAATTTCAACCCTAAGATTTGATTTAATTGCAAAATATTATAATATCAACTTTATTAGATTCTATATTTTAATTAGTAGTATGTATTAGCAATCAATTCAGATATCGTTCTATAAAATTAAATAATAGAAGTCAGTAACATATTTATTCGATTGACGAAATTGAAACTAAATTAAATCATTTATTTTAATTACGACCAATTCAATTACATTACCATATTTTCCCACCAACCTAAATTCCTAAGTGTTGATTGAAAGAATTCACATGGAGGTGAAAAACTCCATGGTTGCAGAAGGGAGAGAGAGGGAAAGTTTGTTAGAGAGAGAGAAGAGAAGAAAACTATTTTTTATTAAAGTAAATGAGTTAATTACAACGGTCACAAAGAGTTGGTATATATATACCCGATTTTACACGTGTAAAATGTAAAAGCGCTATTAGCTAAACTAAATAACAAAAGTGCTAATATCATATAACACTTTTATCTGTGTTATAATAAATTCAAGACTGCAAATATAAAATAATCCAACATCCCCCCTCAAGATGGAACTGGAGAATAGATGTTCTTCAAGGCCATCTTGGACAATAGATGAGAGAAAAGAGGAAACGGCAGTGCTTTGGTAAAGATATCAGCAATTTGATCCCGACTAGGCACTGGCATGAGTCTGACAATGCCACGAGTAACTTGTTGGCGAATGAAATGGCAATCGATTTCAATGTGCTTCGTGCGTTCGTGAAAGGTGGGATTGGAAGCAATATGAACGGCAGCTAAGTTGTCACAGAAGACCAAGTTAGAATCAACTGGAACTTGAAAATCCTGGAGAATTTGATTGATCCAAACCAATTCACTTGACAATGATGCTAAGGCTCGGTATTCAGATTCAGCAGAGGATCTGGAAACTGTGGATTGTTTCTTGGCTTTCCAAGAAACCAGAGAATCACCCAAAAAAACACAAAATCCTGAAGTAGACTTTCTAGTATCTGTACAGCTGCCCCAATCAGCATCAGAAAAGGCTTTGACCTTGGTTGAAGGATCAGAAGAATAGAAAAGGCCTTGTCCAGGTGCAGCTTTGAGGTATCTGAGCAAATGGTGAGCAGCCTGAAGATGAGTGGACCTTGGCTTAGACACAAATTGACTCAACTTGTGAGTGGCAAAAGCAATGTCTGGTCTGGTGATAGTTAAGTAGAGAAATTTTCCAATGAGTCTTCTATATACTGTAGAATCTGGAAGGAGATCACCATCATCTTGATTAAGAGTTGCCTTAGGATCCATGGGAAGGAGTACTGGTTTAGAACCTAAAAAACCTGTCTCTTCAAGCAACTTTAGTGTGTATTGTCTTTGAGAAACAATAATGCCAGAATTGTTTCTAGCAATTTCCAAGCCAAGAAAATATTTCATCTTACCAAGATCTTTAAGTTTGAAAACCAGATGCAGCTGTGCTTTAACAGACTCAATCTCAGCAGGATTAGGACCAGCAATGATCATATCATCAACATATAAAATGAGGGCTAAGAAAGAAGTACCTGACCCTCGAGTGAAGAGAGAATAATCAGACAGAGATTGAGTGAAACCAAGGGCAGTGATAGCATCTGTAAATTTTTGATTCCATTGTCTGGAAGCTTGTTTGAGGCCATACAAAGATTTTTGTAGCCTACATACTAGTTTAGTGCCAGAAGTGTGAGGAAGTTCTGATACATAACCCTGAGGCAGGTCCATATAAACTTCCTCCAGTAAATCACCATTAAGAAAAGCATTGTTCACATCCAACTGATGGAGTTCCCACTGAAATTTGGCAGCTAAAGCTAAAAGAATCTTTACAGAAACAAGTTTAGCAACAGGAGAAAAAGTTTCAGTGTAATCTACCCCTTCTTGTTGGGTAAAACCCCTTGCTACTAGCCTAGCTTTATACCTATCAATAGTGCCATCTTGCTTCCTTTTTAGCTTGTATACCCATTTACAGCTAATGGAATGCTTATCAGATGGCAAAGCAACAACTTGCCAAGTTTTGTTTGTTTCAAGAGCCTGAATCTCTTCAGACATAGCTTGAAGCCAGGAAGGATTTTGAATGGCTTGCTTGTATGAAGAAGGTTCTGTTTCAGCAGAAATATTTGCAGTGTAGGCAAAAAAAGAATCAGAAAGACTTGAATAATCAAGCACATTAGAAATGGGATGTTTGGAAGTAGAAGGAAGCTTGGAATTAATTTGAAAATCAGAAAGGTAGGTAGGCAATTTTGTATGCCTGGAAGACTTACTAACACAAGGAGGAGATGAACCAGAAACTGGAAGAGAAGAAGAAACAGAAACTGGAAGGGAAGAAGAGTCATTAGCTGGAGGAAAAGATTCATAAGACATAGAAGAAGAAGGTTGATCAAAAGAAGGCAATACAACATCACTGTTGTCTAAATGAAACTGAGCTGAGTCAAAAGGAAAAATATGTTCATGAAAAATAACATCTCTGGAAATAAAAATCTCTTGAGACTGTATATCTAACAACTTATACCCTTTAATACCTGGGGGATATCCAAGAAAAACACAGAGCCTTGCTCTGGGGTCAAACTTAGTCCTACCAGCAGCTAAAGTCCCTGCAACAGCTAAACAGCCAAACACCTTAAAAGCATCATAAGGCACAGAAGAATTGGGATATAATAGAGAAAAAGGAGTACAATTACTCAGATTTTGAGCTGGAGTTCTATTGATTAGAAAAACAGCAGTTAAAACACACTCAGACCAAAATTTAATGGGCACCTTAGACTGAAAAAATAAAGCTCGAGCAACATTTAAAATATGTTGATGTTTCCTTTCAACCACTGAATTCTGTTGAGGTGTTTGAACACAAGAAAATTGGTGCATGACACCATGTTGAGCAAAAAAAGATTTAAAAGACAATTCATGAGCATTATCAGATCTGAAAACTTTAATATTTTTGCCAAACTGAGTTTTAACCCAAGCAAAAAACTGAGGAATAATAGTAAGAACATCAGACTTGTTCCTCAATAAGTAAATCCAAGTGAACTTGGAAAAATCATCCACAATAGTCACAAAGTATTTAAAGCCATCATAAGAAGCAACTTTATAAGGACCCCATATATCACAATGTATCAAATCAAAAGAAGCACTAGACTGAGAAGAACTTACAGGGAATGGCAACCTTTTAAACTTGGCCAAAGAACAAACATGACAACATGATGAACTTAAAACAGGTGGTAAAGAAATACAGTCTTTCAAAATAGAAAGTTTGGAAAATGGAAGATGACCAAGCCTATTATGCCAAGTTTGAGAAGAAACTGAGACTTTATTACAAGAAATTTGAGTAGAAGAACAAGAAGCAGACAAAACAGGCTCCAAGACATACAAGCCTTGTAATCTTTTACCCATACCAATCACTTGCATCAGCTTGTCCTGAATCACAAATGATTGAAAACCAAAAGTGACCAATTCATGAGGCTCAGACAAAAGAGCACTAACAGAAAGTAAATTGAATTGAAACTCAGGAACATAAAAAACATTATGCAAAAAAAGTTTTGGAGCTAGCTGAACATCACCTACAAAAGCCACATGCAATGATGATTTATCCGGCAAAATGACCTTAGTATTATGAGCAGGAACAAGATGCATAAACAAAGATCTATTATTGCAAATGTGCTTAGAAGCACCTGAATCAACAACCCAATGAAAAGACATAA